TCGAAGCCTAAGGGCAAGATATCTGACCAGAAGTTTCCCGAACAGTTCGGATTTTCTAGAGTTGGGGCTTATTCGTCCTAAGTCAACAATCATTCGACCACGGGTAAGTAAACTTATCTTCTATAATAATAAAAGCAAGTATTTGTGTATACTATGCCCAGCCAAAACTACGGCATGTAGTTTTGAAAATTTGGATATAGGTAGATGGGAGGGGTTTTGTGCACCTCGAAGCCGGATTTTTAATTTTCATGATAAATAAAGTTTTATATTTAAGAAGTCAAAATACTATATATAAATGGAAATCGTAATATTGTTACAGCTGAGCAGGTTGATATTCGGTTGATTCGATAGTTTAAATGGTTTTGCTAACCGGTTGGTGATTTTGGATGATTCAATAGGTCCGATTGATTTTGGGCAAAGGAGTAGTTTTTGGCTGATTCGATAAGTTTGATTCATCCTAAACTTATCGATAGCTATCACCAATATATAAAACTAGGTGACCCATGCGAATACTTCGCATCCTTTCAGGTAATAGGATTCCATATACGACTAACCTATGGATAGTACTTAATCAAAAAAATAGATTATTGCAAATAACGAATGATGAAAAGTGGCAAAAACATAACGAAAATATAATTTAATTTTTTAATTAATAAACTAATTTTAAAGTTGTAAAAAATTATTAATAGAAAATTAATAAATATACAAATATTGTGACAAATATTTCGAAATAAAAATTTATTTTTTGTAATTCAAATGCAATAAATTTTATAATTAATTAATTTCTTGTTTTAATTTGATTGACACGTTGTTTATACGTTTATTTTATTCTATTCTATTATATTCAGAGACTTCAGCGCCACCACGACACTTTATATTACCGGCAACTGTTAAAATAAACAGATTGCCACCAAATGGCGACCCTTGTTTTTTTAAATGTAATTTTAATAAATGAAAATTTTAAAATGTAAGTTTTAAAATGTAATTTTTTAACGAAAACATTAATTTTAAGATATTTACTTATTTTTCGTCATTAGAGGGAAAAATAATCTTCAAAATGGGGTATCAAACATTAATTTTGATACAGTATTAAGGAGATATTTCACACCGACAAAAAACCTTTGAGAAATAATATATAGAGATAATATAATAAGATCTAAAATAATGATTCGAATTATCTGGCAAGCTGTAAACACCGTAGCGAAGCGTGGGGATCTGGATGCTATTAAATTTAAAAGTTGGATCGATTTAAATTAATTTGTTGTCACCCTTTTATTCGGGTGAATGGAACATCATAACTGGGGTGGGCTAAGAAAGGTTAAAAATTAACCAGCAGGTTAGGAGATGTAGGCGGAGGCTTCGAGAAGGTTCTCAATCGCGACGATTAGGGCATCGAATGTTCGAGAGATTAGGGTAGTTGGACCAATCATAGGTGAAATGAGGATACGGAGGCGTAGAGAATTAGTAGAGATCTCGACGGGTAAAATTAAAGGCGAATATATAAACTCCAAGGAAAGCTCAAGTTCGTAGTTTCTAAGGATTGAATTTACTACTCACACTCATTATAGAACCATGTCAGACAACAAGGAGACCTTTGCCTTCCAGGCCGAAATCAGCCAGTTGATGAGCTTGATCATCAACACCTTCTACTCGAATAAGGAGATTTTCTTGCGTGAGCTTGTTTCTAACGCCTCGGATGCTCTGGACAAGATCCGTTACAACTCTCTGACGGACCCTAGCCAGCTCGAGACGGCGCCCGAGCTATACATCCGCATAAGTGCCGACAAGGAGAACGGCGTCCTCATCGTCCGGGATACCGGTATTGGTATGACCAAGGCCGATTTGGTCAACAACCTGGGAACGATTGCCAAGTCCGGCACCAAGGCCTTCGTTGAGGCCCTCACTGCTGGTGCCGATATTTCCATGATTGGTCAGTTCGGTGTCGGTTTCTACTCTGCCTATTTGGTTGCCGATAGGGTCGAGGTTATTACCAAGAACAACGATGACGAGCAGTACATTTGGGAGTCGGCTGCTGGTGGTTCCTTTACCATTACCCGTGACACGGTCAACGAGCCCCTCGGCCGCGGTACCGAGCTGCGCCTATACCTTAAGGAGGACCAGCTTGATTACCTTGAGGAGAAGCGCATCAAGGAGATTATCAAGAAGCACTCCGAGTACATCAGCTACCCCATCCAACTCGTGGTTGAGAAGGAGGTCGAGCGGGAGGTTGAGGACGAGACCGAAGACATGGAGGAGGTCAAGGCTGAAGAGAAGGACGAAGATTCGGCCAAGATTGAAGACGAAGATGAAGATGAGAAGAAGGATGCCAAGAAAAAGACAAAGACGGTTAAGGAGCTCAAGAAGGAGGTCGAGGAGCTCAACAAGACTAAGCCTCTCTGGACTCGCAATCCCGAGGATATCACCACTGAGGAGTATGCCTCTTTCTATAAGTCTGTCTCCAATGACTGGGAGGATCACCTTGCCGTCAAGCACTTCTCGGTTGAGGGTCAGCTCGATTTCCGCGCTCTCCTTTTTGTTCCCAAGCGCGCTCCGTTTGATCTCTTTGAGTCCAAGAAGAAGAAGAACAACATTAAGCTCTATGTCCGCCGTGTCTTCATCATGGATGACTGCGAAGAGCTGATTCCCGAATGGCTCAACTTTGTCAAGGGTATCGTCGACTCGGAGGACCTTCCCCTCAACATCTCGCGCGAGACTCTCCAGCAGAACAAGATCCTTAAGGTGATCCGCAAGAACATCGTCAAGAAGTGCATCGAGATGTTCAGCGAGATCGTTGAGGATAAGGAGAACTTCAACAAATTTTACGAGGCCTTCTCCAAAAACATCAAGCTGGGCATCCACGAGGACAGCCAGAACCGCGCCAAGCTCAGTGAGTTCCTCCGCTTCCACTCCACCAAGGCCACCGATGAGCCCACCTCTCTCAAGGACTATGTCACCCGTATGCCCGAGAAGCAGAAGGACATCTATTACATTACTGGTGAGTCTCGTGCCGCTGTCGAGAACTCTCCCTTCCTTGAGGTGCTCAAGCAGAAGGGCTTTGAAGTCCTCTTTATGGTTGACCCCATCGATGAATACTGCGTCCAGCAGCTGAAAGAATACGACGGCAAGAAGCTCGTGTGCGCCACCAAGGACGGGCTTGAGTTCGAGGAGGATGAGAGTGAGAAGGCTGCCCGCGAGGCTCGCGCCAAGGAGTTTGAAACCCTTTGCACGGTAGTTAAGGAGATCCTCGGTTCCAAGGTTGAGAAGGTTGTCCTCTCCACCCGCATCACCAACTCCCCCTGTGTCCTTGTCACTGGCCAGTTTGGTTGGTCGGCCAATATGGAACGCATCATGAAGGCTCAGGCCCTGCGTGATAGCAGCATGTCGTCTTATATGGTTTCCAAGAAGACCTTCGAGCTCAACCCTGAGCACGCTATCATCAAAGCCCTCAATGACAAAGTCCAGGCTGATAAGGAGGATAAGGCGGTTCGCGATCTCACCTTCCTCCTGTATGAGACTGCGCTGTTCGTCTCAGGGTTTTCCCTCGAGGATCCCACCACCTTTGCCGGGCGTCTCTTCCGTATGATAAAGCTCGGCCTTGGCCTCGATGCCGACGAGGAGCCCACCCCCGAGCTTCCTGCTGCGGAGGATGCCCCCGAGCTTGAGTCGGCCGAGTCCAAGATGGAGGAGGTTGACTAAACCTGTACTCTAGTCCCCTTTCCCTTCGCAATCCCTAAAATGCTGCGATCTACTCTTTCAATAAAGTTTTAATCGCTCATACTGGTCAGTTGCTTCTTATTTCTTGTTCTTTGATTTGCTTGTTCCATTAGCTCGAGGTGTTAGGTATTTTAATTGAGGTGAGTCGTGCCCTTTACCACTACCACTTAAACTAACGTATTAACCAAGTAAGTTTCGCACTTGCCCTTAACCTACCTCTACCTCTAATTTGGTTGGTTTGAGTATCTCGGGATGCGTTGTACGCGCGAGGGGAAGCCTTTGACCTCATACCAATTAAACCGCGCCACCGAGGTTGATTGGAAGAGGCCCAGGCCAATTTCGAGGCACTTTAAACGTCTGCCACTCAGCCAAGTTTGAATCGCCGCCCGCACCTTTAATTAAGTTTGAAAGTTTAACTTTTTATCTTCCACCTTTAAACCATTTTTAATCATTTAACCTAAAGGTTCGCGCCAAGCCAACTTGCGTTAGGCAGCAGCCTATAAGCTCCATTGGGATGGCGGGTTACCTTGTTGGCAGCGACGCGTAAATCAGTCGCATCTAGAGCGTAAATTTATCGACTTCTTATACCAGTTGACTTGATACTACCATTTTTTAGAACCTTGATATGGTTCACAACCCAGCGAGGGGTGAAACCAAACCGGTTAAACTTCAAGACCAAGGCTTAGGGATTAACAATTATTTTGTTTTGACTTTTAAATGGTTCTGCTAGCTATTCGATCGCGGTAGAAGCTTGTTGAGGCGGAGTTGGTGAGTTTTCCGCTGGTATACACCCCTTATCCTACATACTCGTACCTGACGATGCTTATCCTCTACCTTGTTAACTTTCGCGTCCCCGAAAGTAAGAGTACAGTTTGGTACCTTTTTAAGTTAAACTACCGTTGTATCCAACTTGGATTAACTTGGCGGCGCGTTATGAGGTGTATCGTTTGTGCCGACTTTTTAAAATTTATCATCCGATCGCTCAACTTATGCCTATATGTTGGCTTCATCTCTTAGCTTAGTATAGATTTTAGTCGGGCCTCGTTAAAGCTGATTTCATTCTCATTCCCAAACCTATTGCGCATACTTTTTAAAATCATACAAGCCGTGTTTTATATGATGACCCCAACTTGAAGGCTGGAATTTTGATGTATAAAGTTAGTTTAAAACATTTCAGAAGGTGGAAGCTTTGTGTTGGGACCATCTAGTACTAAAAAAGGTGGAAGCTTTGCCGAGTGTGCTAGTTACATATTAATATTTATTTTCTACCTTATACAGAAAATCGTGCTTCGTTAGCTCAGTCGGTAGAGCATGAGACTTTTAATCTCAGGGTCACGGGTTCGAGCCCCGTACGAAGCTTAATTTTTTTAGATTTGCAGTTTAGCTCGTGCTAAATTGAATATTGTTACAATCAAATCCGAAAGTTTGAAAATAATTTTTTAAAGAAACTCCATACCTTCATTAAATTGTAACAGTTGTTAATAATATGCTCTATGCAACTTGATATAAGGCGTTGATCGATTTGAAGATGTTTAAGTGTAAACTAAAAACATTGCCAACCTTATTTAGTTCATGTACTTAGTTTTTGTAGTTGGATTTTTAGAAATGATCCACTAACTTAAATGTTGATATACCTGAAGCCTAAGCTACAGCTACGCTACCTTAATTTTACCACACTTGATACTTATTTGGTAGCAAACCGATGGGTATCCAGTTACCTTACTTATGCATAGTTACCCATAGCAACTAAATACTTCTGGTGTGAGGTGACTTATATCTAGTTTAAGTTCTGTTTTGTACTTTGCCATAGATGTACCCATTATCCTTACCCTTGAATATCGCGGTTAAAATCTCATTGTTATACCAGATAGAAATTTATATATCTTATGAAAGTATAATAATACTATCTTTACCTATTCAGACAAGGAGATAATGAATAAATTCTTGTCAGCAAAGATAAGAGAGGTATATAACGGTATATATAAAGTGCCTAGCTTAACCTCCTATATCAGAGTAGGCTTCCACCTATCCTGACATAACAGGAGAATATATAAAATATCTCAACCATGTCCTTGTATTCACAGAAAAGTATTTCAAAAGTGAAAAAATAGAGCAGGACAATCTTCTGGCTATAGATCAAGATGATATAGATTACTGTTACTTCTTAAGGTAATTGCTATAATTAGTACTTTATTATAATCAGCAAAAGAGTGGTTAGCCTGGCAGGGTAATTCCTGCCTCCACCCTAGTGCAGGTTTTGTTCAATACAAGTTCGAAACCTGTACTGGACAGAAGAATTCCTAGTGTGATATATTTTTTCCAAGGTCAACCCACCTCAGATACTTTTTTATTATTTAAATTTAAATTTAAATTTTATTCGAGGTGGGCCGACCTGGGGATGATACCGCACCGATTAGGGAAGTGAAGAAAATGGGAAAGGAGGAGGATAAAACCCGGAAAACCTCCATGCGCAGCGTATGATAGGCCAGGAACTCCATGGACCACCTTTGCTATTCGCTATCTCGGTTCGGGGCATTGGTGCGCAAAGCCAACACAGTCAAAATCGTCCCCTATCCAAAGTCCATTACTGGGATCGAACTCAGGAGGCAGTGGTAGAGGGTCCATACTCTACCACTGGGGTATCCTCCCCTAGATACTTTTTTATTATAATCAGCAAGTTAGCATCTAGTAAAAATTTAGAAATTTAGTAATTTCTTGATCATTTTAGATATTTTTAAATTAACCTCTAAATTTAGGCTATGATAAAAAAGTATCTGCTTTTCCAATATTGTTACTCATGTTTACCAGTAGTAATTCAATATTTTACTTTACTTTTATTATTAGAGTACTTATAAGAATCTGATGTGTGATAAGATTGGATAACTTATCTGCAGCCTGATAGATAGTCATATATAAAAGATATTTTCTAGTGCTTCTAAAGCTTCACTTGCTATTTAAATAAATTTAAAAGATATTGTTATTTCTTTTTGATTGTCAACTAGCTTTGGCATCAAAACTAATGATAGATACTAATAATATTATTAGTTTAAAAAAGTAATTGAGGCAGTTTGATCTTGGAACAGTTTTACCACACTGAGATTTTTTATAGCCATTACAGGTTTTGAACATGTGTTGAACAAAACCTGCAATAGAGTGGAAGCAGAATTACCCTGCCAGGCTAAGCACCCTTAAGATTGTTAGTTATTATATATATAAAAAATAAGAGTTATCTAATTCACTTACTTTATAAAAACTTCCTATGAGTTGATATACTAGAGTTGTAGGACCATCCACCATCAATTATTGATCTTTGATTAAACTCAATAATTAAAATTATTCCTTCAACTATCCAACTGATTGCTATACAGTCTTCTGATTGTGTGACTGCCATTTAGCTGCTATACTTTTTCATATCACAACTTTCTTCCTACTTTCTACTAATCTTTTATGTTTATTTAGAAGGATTATAATCTGATAGGATATTGCTATTAAGGCAGGTTTATAGTTTTTGTATTTGTTTCCAAGCCTATTAATGATGCTATCTAAGGGTATTTTACCCATATATGGTTTATCTCAAGGCAGAAAATATAAAATCTATCTATTTTCAATGTATGTCCAATATAGATGTCTGGTGCTAAGGGAATTATAGCATGTGTAGGAATCAGTTAGGTAAATTTTTTAGACAAAATGATAATTGTCACAGCTCTTGGATATTACATTACCATACCCCTTATGGCACAATAGTATCAAAAAGTTATTTAATTATAGATTGCAAGGACCCAATCAATTAATCCTATTGAAATTATGAATTGAAATGCATTGACAAGCTTAAAATCTTATCACCAAGGTAGAGTCCAATTGTAATTGTGCCAATCATTGATACAGCCATAAATTTATAGATATACTGCTTTTGATACATCCACATATTTATTGCAAAATTACAAGTAAACATAACAATAAATTGGATGGGAATTGGTAAAGATATTTAAAAAAGTTTCTGTGGCAATTTACAAAGTTTTAGAATAAGCATGTGATTATGGATGTTTATATTCTACATAAAAGATAAAGCCATAGGAAAGTGAGATGATTTAATTTTATCATAGCATATATGTTGAAAGAAAGCAAGATGTAAAGCTAAATCCTTCAGCAGAACAAATCATCCTACAATATTTGGCAGGTTTTAAACCCAAAGTGAATGCATCTTGCAGTGTTTAAAACTTGCTGGGGAGAAACTGCTCCATCACCTCATGGTGGGGTAGCAACTGAAACAGCTACAAAAATCATATGAAATTACTGCATTTTGAATTATGATTCAAAAAAGTAAATTGATTCAAATAAACTTTATTTTTTATTAGCTTATAACTATAATGATCAGCGAGGAGTTATGTACATTTTCTTAACCTTACTTAAATTAAAATATCTACCAGTACTATATAAAAGTATTCCTCATATTTTTTGTATCAAAATTTAAAAGCTATATCTCACACTTACTGTAAAAATTAAATCTTATTTTGAATTAGATTTTATTTTTTATTGTAGTACTTTATACAATTAAAAATCTGACTAGAATCAATATAAATCCTTATTGTCATATTTTAAAGATTTCTCTGGCCTATCAGCAATGTCAATAGAATTCATAGTAGATAGCTTATAACTTAACGTAAGAGATATTAAGATAAATTGGGTATGCCAATCACATCCTAGGTACCTGGATAAAGGAAATCCTTGCTCCAGACCTCCCACAACAACATTGGTCCAGAGCAGCAAGGACTAATTTTGCACAGGCGCTCAAATAAACCAACCCACATAGTCCACCCAGACTACTTTCATACCTTGCCAAGCACCCTACTGCAACAGGTCTGCATGGAACCTCCACTCATTTCAACATATCCTCCAAACTATCCGCCGTATGGGATGGACTATAGAGAACATGGGTACTATACAGGGAAGGGGATGACCCAGCCCCCAATTCAAACTAAGAAACCCAGAAAACCACCCCCAGAGGGATATGCTCGCAACAACCCCAAGCATAGCTAGGATAGAATACCTAGATATGCTGGACATTCCCTATGATTTAACCATACAGAAAGCAATGTGGAAAATGACACACCACCCACTCCTACACCCAAGGATAAGAGCAAACGCCTGGCGCTGTTTGAGAAAGACCTATAGGATGGCGGACCACTCCAACTCCCTCCACAAAACATGTGCAGTATGTGAAGGGGAGGGATCCCTACATCACCGCCTAGAAACATGCCCCCAACCAAAGCTATATGGCAGGAAGTCGCACGCCTGCTCAAGATTCAAAACAAACAGGAATTTTCAATATCAAAGAGTATCTTCACGCTCCAGATTGAGTCACCAATCCCATCTACCCTCTGCTCCCTAATAATACCCATTGCAATGTGGACAATACACACAATTGCATTAGATGCGTTCAAGGGCACAGTCCCAACCATTCATGGGATTATAACAGATTCCATGTCCACTTACTAGAGCACTTCCAAGCCTGGCTCTATGGATATATGAGACCAAGACAAAAAGCGCTCATAGAATCATGGTTCCCACTCTGGTTCCTCCACACAGACCCTTTCCTTCACACCTGCTCCATAGCAGGGGAAACCCCCTCAGAGTAGTGCACCAACCCCCATACCTGGCAGTCCCGCTGGCAACAGGGGTAACTTGAGTACCCTGAGGTGCCCAATTTTTATATTTCTTAGTTATTCTCTTAGTTTCACATATATTTGGTAATGTCTGTCCCCTGGTTGGCTTACCTCAGTTAAATAAAAAAGATAAATTGGGTACAAAGTAAGTGTTAAAACTATCTTTAATAAAATCTTTCTTATGCTTAATGTACATATAGTCTAAAAACAGAGTCTTTACAAATAATATTTTTTCTAGGTTATAAGGTGTAATCTTACAATTTGATTTGATAATCATTATAGACACTCTACAAAACATTATAAATGAAATGTCAGGGAAACAACATCTAGAGGTTATATGAAGCAGAATCAGGGAGATAAGGCCTAAAAATAACAATGCATTTAAAGTTAAGTAAAAACATGACACCTAAGGTAATTTTTATATATTCTCAATTTGTGTAAAAATAATTTAGTATAAAAAATACAAAATTGGTATAGAAAGTAGTTTCCAAAGTTTTAAAGTCTTTGATTAACTATAGTAGAAACCAAAAATGCACTTGAAGTGCTTATTTTATAAAATCAGTTAGGAGTCAAATTTGAGCTCAAAATTAAGGCATGATGAGGCTTAAACTATGCAGAAATTAAAATATTATCAAAGAACTTTTCACAAAACTATAACAAACTCCAAACTAAAATAAAAAAAATAAATTTTAATCT